TTTTTATTCACAATACTCAATAAATATTATACAAATAATGATATAACCTTAATAATAACAAATTATATACAAAATTTACACTTAAAATATATTTACACCAAATTTGAATACTCAACAACCACTCATTTTGTTTTAATACAAATAAAATACATTAAATTTAGTTTTTTCGTAAAAGATTACATAATTAAAAATTTGACAGTACTTGAACCTTTCGAAAGCTTTTATTTAATACAATAATATGAAAAATTGTATAAGTCTTTAATGTTCTTGTTGATGTTCTATAACTTCTATGCGTTCTAACAAAAAGATTATCTAAGTAATTTCTTAAATTATACAAATTTATTGATACACGGTTATTTCATAAAATATAATAAATTATATAATTAGGTAGGTACTTAAATCAATAATAAATTTAATAGTTAACTATTCTATGATGTTTTTAATACATTTAAATTATTTGGAATTCTACCAATGGACATTTTATTAGTTTATCAATAAAATTTTAAATTAAAATTCACAAACGTAATCTCTATGGTTTATTACAATATTACCATATTCAACATCAATCAAATCAAAACGAATTTTTTTTCTATAAGTTTGATAATAGGTCAAGTCACTTTAATACAAAGATTACAACACAAAATTGGTTTTGATGAATACGAATTTGCTATGTTACACCCTGATTTTGTCATAAATTAACATTAATAATAAGGACAATATCCTGGTACAAGGCCTGGGGGTATCATTTCTCTTGATCTGGCACTAGTCTTATATATAAAATAATATTAATTTCCAGCAAAATTGTCATTTTACGACTTTTTAACTGCTGCTATGGTTCCATTGGACAGAATACGTCCGAATCATTAAATCAACTCGTAGAAAATGTTTATCTACGCGAATAGCTCGTTTAAAATGGCTTTTCGCCAGTTTCACAAGCGTTTAATATATCAAAATGTGTTTCGCTAAATTCGTATAGTCATTATACGTCTTACTGGAGACGGTTTTTTATTATTATTATCATCACGCGAAACGCCCAGCTAAGATAATCGAATCATAACGATGTAAATATAATCACCATCAGAATTATTTATTTATTTTTTCTACTATTAAATCTGATAATTTTCTCTCGAAGATGTGTTAAATTCCCAACATTATTATAATAATATGCATATTAAACTGCGAAATTGGTAGTTCAAGGCGTAAATAAATAAAATATTTTTCAAATGTAAAAAATGTATTCTATGGATTTTTATTTTTTGTTGTTGTTTATTTATTTTTAATATTGGAGATACCAACAGTTATGTAGATATATATATGTTGTTTTTTTTTTTGCAAAGCACGTACAAATTATATTATACTTTTTACCAGTGAAAATGGAACATATTATCCTAAATTAATACTGCTATAGGTGGTATAAAACATTTTTTTATGATAATTATTTCAATAAAAACGTAATTCATAAAACATAAAAATATAATGTGTTGCAATCACACAAAAAAGCTTAACGTAATCAAATAAATCCAACATTTACTTCTTTAGGATCAGGTATAAAGTTGTCAATGAATTCGAGTTTATATCTTAAAAGTAAGTTGACCTTACGATCAACCGTCTTTTCCCATGCTGCATAAAATATTGATAAATATTAGTATTATATATAAACTATAAGATTACAGAAATTACAACTATGTAATATTGAGAATTGAAATTATATTTGCTATTTAAATAAATTCAGTAACATTCATTATTTAGATTGAAAATGCTTATTTTTATCTGTTTTAAAATAAATAATTTCATACTTTCACAGTTTATACGTTACATTATATTACTTAAGAAAAATAAATAAACGAGTACCGATATTGACGAACAAACATCGACTGTTAAAAGACTAAAGAAAAAACAATAATGCACGTATTGTTTTAAATATAAGGGAAATCAATTACAATTATAAAGGAGAGACTAAAATTTAGGTATTTCAATATATCTACCAAAAATGCTTTTTTTTTATCTTGAGTGGATTTAAGAATCTTTTTTTATACATAATAATATGTTTTATATGTCTGTAATCACGTTTTAGAGGAGAAGATTTTCTTTAATCATCAACATCGAGTGTGATTTTTTGATGAATTGTTACGAATACTATTCCAGTAAATAGTTAATTTTAGTTATTAAAAAACAAAACTGTTCTGTGGACTGTGAGATAATCGTAGTTTTTGCGCAGCAGATCGTGAAGATTAAATCCCGTCGCACAAACCTTTTTAATAATATAATATATTTACAATGACAGTAGAATTTTTATGTTTATCATGTGTATAAAATTCCCACTCTACAGTGAATAAATCTAAAACGTATCCCACTAACTTATTGAATAATATACATTTATATTATATTAATTTATAAAGCTATTAGCTATAAATATAATATATATGTATATACAAAATAATTCGCCAGGCATGCTCATTCCCATTTTTTTTCTTTAATAATAAATTCATTCAAATTCCGATTTTTTAAATATTTAAATACCACATTTTAAAATTCTTAAGATTTTCTGTGCTACTTAAGAAATACCATATGGCGATAGAAACTTCTGTTTTTAAAATAAAAAAACCCCTTTTTCTTACTGTAAATTATTTAATAGATTATATTTTGAAAATTTTGATGCATCTATTTCAAAATTCTAACGAGTAATTTTTCATTTATAAATATTAATAATCTTTAAAAATAATTTTACAAAAATATAAAATATATGACATATTGGATTTAGTGTTTATTATACTTAATATATTTTTACAAATTATAAACGTAAATGCAATACAGATTAATACTAATTACTAAAATTTTCAAATAGGGGTTCTCATCTGAAAAATGGAAGTTTGTATCTCCCACACGATACATGTCTTTTAAAATATAAAAAAAAAATATTAACTGTAAGTATATTTTATAAAAATTCCGAAAACCAGATTTTGAATAACTAAATTATTGAAAGAAAAAGTGACAAGAATTTAATATAGTGAATTACTACATACATACAATACATACATATATATCGTGCTTTATTCGACCTAGCCAAAACCCTTATAATACGTATTATTTTTATTCAACGCATTTCGTTACGGAAACACAATAATAATATATGCATAGAATATATTATTATATTATATTCACAAAAGTTTTAAGAGGATATAATATAATATGTATACACGTATATAATATTATACTAGAGTCGAAAATTGTTAAAGTTCTGTTTCGTTTTTACGGATGTTACCCAAATGTCACACATCGGAGCTAAACATTCCGGCAGAATTTCGACGCCGTTCCGGATCCGTTGAGATTCGATGCCCATAAACACCTCGAGACCGGGAAAAGTTTAGTGTACTGCAATTGCAGTCTGCGGCAAGTGATGAGCGACGAAGGGCCGGTAGTTACGCCTCGCGTAAGGAACTTGAAACCTTCCGCCCGCCGCGCCACTATACCACTTCGATCTGGTCTGCACGACAGTTGAAAAAAACCTATAATAATTTAATTGATAACTACTATTATTTATTATTATTATTGTGATGGTGAAAAAATAATAAACACACACAGCAAACGATAAAAGTATTTTTTTATCTATATTTGTAACATAAAGATCAGCTATAAATAATGACCAATCGATTTTAGTATCTATAAATATGAATTAAAACAAATTTTTGTAGTAACCTAGCTTAAAATTACAAAAATAAATACTATAGGTTATAAAGACGTTACGGAGGAATTTGGCGAGTAAACTTCACCCCTATTTTTTAATAATGAATATATTTAAATACCTATTTTTGAAATTACGAAGTATATTTACATATAATCCATATTTTCAAGTACGTTATTTTATACCATCTCTTTAAGGAGTATTATTTTATGGTTAAATTAACTTTTAATTTAGAATAGATTAACTTCTTCGTGAATGGTTTTAATTTTTAAATCTGAGTGTAGAATGAAATTATATAAATATAAAGATTGGCATTTGTGATTGAGCGTAGGATTTTGTTTTAAAATGTTTGAATTTTGTTTAAATTGGAGTTTTTGGTATTACGCTTTAGTCCACATCAGTTTAATTAAAGGTTTTTAAATGAGTAGTTTGGTGTTTAGTTCAGTATGTTTATTAGATATTAATGTTTTAAGCAACCGGAGACGTACATTTAAGACAAGTTTTTTACTTACGTCTGGTGTCTAAATGAGTCGTAAGTCATTAACATTAACCCTAAATACTTATCTGAATGGGAGAATAGGATAGGGATATCAGTTAAGAAGACTTCAAAATAAGGGCAGGTGAATAATAAATACTAAATTTAATACTACATAATATAATCTCTTACTTTACTAAGATTAAGTTTAAGGACTATTATCCTTATAATATACATTTTAATAATTCAAAAACAACTCATTCAAAATTTGATGTAGATACATAAGCATTTATTAAAAAACTTATCTGCTTGACATTTTATAATAAAATAAGGTTGGTTTTATTTGAAAAAAAAGGAGACTTGTATCACTACAAAAAATTTTTTATAATAGTATTAACGGACAATCGAGGTTTTATCAGTCATAATATACACAATGCATTAATATGCTATAAAATTGAAGAAGCATATAAGAGTAAACCTTCAAGAACGTTATTTTTATATCGTGTCAAAATTTTATTTTCAAAATCACATTCTTATCTATACATCTGGTCTCAATAGACTTGTTTTAACTAAATATTCAACTCTGCAAAATCAAAGCATCAAATAATATTTTTTTAATTCACCCAATTTGATCAGTACTAACAAATAACAATACTATTTTATTTAAATTTTATTGAAAACCTATCACTAATTATATAATATTATATACCTACTCTGTGATTCCACAATATTAGTGTTATTTTAAATAGTTTGCATACAATACCTAACTTATAACTTTTAATACCTATACATCTGTGTACAGATAATTTAATAGGTAATATATTTTGTTTATTTGATTTTTAGGTACGTGATATCGACGTTATGCGGCGATCCATGTAGCTTCCCAGAAACACTTGTGACTGTGTTGTTTTGGATCGGTTATTTCAATTCATCACTGAACCCACTGATATATGCCTACTTCAATAGAGACTTCAGAGAAGCATTTAAAAATACGCTACAGTGTGTGTTCCCATGTTGTCAGTCATGTTGTCCAAAAGAAAGCGACACAACAGCCATGAGCTATGTTTAATCTGTCGGCAATAATAATAAATAATAATTATTATTAATATAATTATTATTATTATTATTATTATTATTATTACTACTATTAAAGTTATAATAATATAAATAAAAGTTACAACAATATTATTACATTAAGCATTTTCGTTTCAATGAGTTACTCTATATAAGTTGAACATTATTAGAAGAAAACTATTTGTATTGTACAATTTTTATTGTTCAATTGTAGGCTAATGACTTAGCCTTTAATATAAATCATAATAATGTTGTACTAAAAATAAATAAATATTAATTGATAAATCCATTAAAAAAAGCCACTGTGAAAATAATAACGTACATCACAATATTGTATTGTACCTAATATGATACTGCGGGTACTTAACTACCATTTAGATTACTGTTATATAAATACATTATACGTATCTAACATACAGTTTATACTAAACACAATACAAACCAATACTTAATCTTAAAATTTTTATTTATCTTTATGTGGTTTTTTTTTCAAAGAAAATTAATTTTGATGAATATTGTAATGAGTAATTTCAATGAGTAGACTATATTATACAATTATATCAAGTATAAAATGTATATTTATAAACCACACGTTATTATATATTTATAATAATATATTATACATACATATTTAATCGTTTTGTTATTAATTTTTTTTTTTTTTTATTATCATTCTATTTATCCATACATCTTACTATTATTATCATGGTTTCAGTTTCATGTCGGTTTGCAGATTTATTCGAAACTAATACGACTGTTCATCTAAATAACAGGTATGGTATTAACCACTACGTGTACAGTAACATATTGAACAATTAACCCGTTCTGTATCTATACATACTTCTTACCAAAATTATGCGTTTCCATCTGATATCTATTATAAATCATCAAACACACGCACGTTATTTTTTCTCATCTAAATATGACGTGCATATTTTATATGATATATGATTTGAAGTGAAAATCCCTACGTGAAAATTTAAATTTAAATCAATTAAATTTTTAAATTTTTAAATCCAGCGCAGACCATTATTTTCAATGGTTTAATGAGTGAACAGAATAATACACACATTGACACATTTATTTATAAAAACGCATCTCCTTATCTTCATTAAGTGTCATAGCACATATTATTCATAGATTCAACCTCATCATTAAAATATTCAAAAATTTTCCGGTTTTCTGAATGAAGTTTAATATTATTTAATAGCTTATTAGAATGTACAACATGCAAAAAAAAAATTGTAAATATTTTTAAGATATGTATTCTCAAGGTGTCTGTGTGCCAATATATAGGTGTTTTCCCCGTGATCAACCAAGATTAAAAAATATCTAAGATAGATTCTGTTGTCAAATTTGTTTTTCTAATAACTTTGATAATTAAATTATACAGATTATAATTTCACTATTACCTCAATATTGTAAGGTATAACCATATAAATAAACAATAATTCTTATTAAAATTGTTGCTTACTGTAACTAGTCCAAATATTTATTTCACCATTGTTGAAATTAAAACCAGAAATCCCGAAACCATGCATTTAAAATGTATCTATAAAACTTATAGACAAAATAAAAAACTTTATTCACACATACAAGATGTAGGTATACAAGAACACAAAGACAGTACACTTGTAATTATTATATCTATATATATTTTGGATCATTTTTATTACTTTAAACATTGAATTTAATTGTTATCATAATCAACATTATAAACATAAAACATTTTAAAGTCTTAATTTATGTCATAAAAAAAAGATATTATACTTCACTACTGCAGTCCACAGCACGTATCACCATGAAGAAAAAAATGGTCCATAAATTCCTCTTTACTTTCCATCATACTTTAATGTTACTCACGTTCTTAATTGAAAGTAAGTAAGTACTAACTGAATTATTAACATGTCTATTAGCTATTGGACAGTGTTATGATGTATTTTTATTAACTAAAAATGTTTAACAATTAATAAAATTGGTAAACAATGTAGTAATATTTCCAAAATCTATCTTTTATATCCGACATCTATCATATTTATCAATAGTTTTGTGTGCTTATTGAATTGTACGTACAGTGTGGTTATGCGATGGTCTATAATCTATAATCTATATAATATCCAATTTTGATGAATTTAATCTATTTACTAATAAATTAAAATTGATCTATCTTTGATTTTTAATAAATTAACAAAAATTATATAAATTATCTTGTATTTGTATACATTTCTGATAATTTAACTAAAAATTATTACAAATATTAAAAATATAAAAGATACTTTTATGTTTTAATACTTAGTGAATTATATGAAATATTATAATTTATATCTCTACCTAATAAATTATCAATAACTATATAGATATAAATTTAAAAAGTATAGATATTTAGCAGGTATATCAGACATTTTTTATGCATAACTTCCCTGTAACAATAGTTTATTGGGTAGCACTATTAAAAGTAATACACTAATAAGATATAGTGTACTGGCATAACAATTTTAAAATGAAGTACTACGCACTACTATAACATATAAATTATGTATTAATTTCAGGACTGAACTGTTTCAATCTATGTACTGAAAAACTGTTAATGAAGAATACACTTATTGTGCAAAATAAATCGAAAAAATATTCAAAAATAAGCAATTAAAAAAAAAGGCAAAATAAATTCAAATCGTTTATGAATAATGAATATGTAATAACAAAAGGTTATCTAAATATATCTTTATTTGTACTGGAAATTTAATAGATAGCATTAAAGGTAACTAAAAAAAATTATGTAATTTTGAAGATTTCGTAAGTAGTTGCATTGACAATATACATTAGTCGACAATATTTAAATTGTATTTCAAGTTATGAATGTATAATGTAATATTTAATTAAATATAATAGACTATTCTAATAATCTAAGACAATTATTTCTCAACAGCCTAACAACCAAAATTTATTTTATTTCGTTAAAACAAATACGTTATAGATTATAATATTATATAATTTATTTTTAATTCTACAGAAACTTTTGAAGAACATCTGACCCATTGTGTTATTTCTTTACAAACATATCCATTTGCGTACTACGGAAGCTCATATAAAAAAAATCATAAAACAAACTTTACTCTAACCGTTCACGTATTCATGTAGGTAACCATAATCTACATAACTTTCTATGAAGTAAAATTTTATCGTTCTCAATACGTTTAGAATAAAAATAAAAAAAATCATTAAGTTGTTATACTTCTGGCATTTGGTGAGAAAATTATAATACTATCAAAAAACTATTTATTTACACTCTATACACATCATTGTACTATCTCCTTGACTTTCTAGTCAAGGACCAAGATTCGGGAACCTGCGGCTCCGGATCCACTTAACATGCAATCTGCGACTGTTTGGAAAATTAATCAATATATCGAGATCCGTGTAATATAAATAATATAGATATAATTATCTATAATATAAATTGTTTGTACTTACGTTATTATCTATAGTTTATACTAACAACAGTAATAACTATAACTAAAAAAATTAAGTTTTTTCAAACCTGTGCAGCTCTAATCTAACTTGTGTAACTTTTTTAAAAATAAAAAATAGCTCTTTTCGACGAAAAGGTTTCCGACCCCTGCCCTAGTCCCTTGTTCATAAATCAATTATCTAAAACCTAATTTTATTACAAAATAAGTATAATTTGTGCACGTACATATATATTATACATTAGATATAGTATATTTTATTATTGTTTTATCAAAATCGACAATTACTCACTTTACAAACAAATCAATCTTTTCGGCTTTACTATCTTCTATAGGTTAGGTTATTCATATATTCTAGGAAAAAAACTTAGCTTACAGATAGCAGTTATACTCGTATTATACTGCACTGTGCGATGATTAATAATATCAATACTTTATTAACTTTTTAAATTTTAGACTTGAAAAATGTTTGTAGGAACTAACCTCGTTCGCATATAGTTTTCAATTGAATTAAAGCAAATTAAAACTAGAAAAATATCTTTTACACTGTATCGATTAACGGTTATCAAAGATATATTACTTGTTCATGTTTCAAAGTATAATAATATATAATATATATATAGTTATATTATATCACACGCATGTATAAAAAAAACATTTTTATTTTATTTTTACGAGTAAATTAACTACAATAGTTGTCAGTATAATTGTTATATAACAGGGACGTATACAATAGGAGTGGTATACGTCAGATACCCTGTAAACTTTTTTTTAAGACATTTATAAAATAATGTCGTTTAAACAAATCTCAAAAATATAATATTGTTGTTTATTTTTATTAGGTATTTGAATTTAATAATAATTTTATAATGTTTTACATTTTTCACTTTAGTTTATTTAATTTAAATCCTATTAACTTTTTCATTTATGACTAATTTATTGTTAATAGCATTTAGGGCGTACTAAGTTTACAATAAAGCATCTTAAGGCTTAATCAGTAATACCTATAAGTACAATATAGAAATCACGCAAAGTGTAAAGGATGAACATTCGGAGTTCACAATTTGAATGTCTTGCATCATAACAACTCCTCCATGTGTTTTATCAGTGAGAGGTTCAGTAACATTGTAAACCCCAGTTTATATGTATAAAGTATTCTGAATGTATAATGGATAGGATATTAATTGGGTACCTATGTTATGAATTTGACAGAAAAATACAAGTGAGCGTATTCGAGTAAATATGATAACAAAACATTTAAGGATGTTTAAAGAAAGTCCAAGAGACTGGTCTAAGCGTTCAAGAAACTAATCTTATGAATGTCAATTCAGAAAAAAATAACTATCGGAAATGTAATTATTACACAGATGGCGTTTCGTATCATTGACAAAAGTTAGGAGTTTGGCGTGAAGAAGCATCCAACTTATCAATTAATAGTTAGATGAATATAAATGAAAGGAAGTAGTAAAACATATTATACATCTATTGTACAACTATACAATTGAGGTACTATTTTATTATTATTATTTAAATCATCATAATTTTCAAAATACAGTTTTATTTTAATTTCATTCTAATGATTATATATTTATTTTAAGCAGTGTTGAATTAAAGATGAATAGTATAACATTTCGATAATTAAAAGCAAAAATATATATAAATTAAATAATTTTTATAAAAATTATATAAGTAATTTACAATATCATCAAATAAAACTATACAAAATAAAAAAGAGATAAAAATTAAAAATGCAGAACTAATACAATCTAATGTGTTAAACTATAAAATTTTAATAGATAGACAAAACAAATTATTATTTTTATATAATTAGTATTTAAGTAATTTTGTAACAGATATGTAATAAACTTGGGAAAAAAATTAAAAAAATAGACAAATTCTAAGAATAATTAATTATAAATAACTTTTTTAACATTGATTAGATAAAAATGAATATTTTTTTTAACATCATATATTGCATTAAATTAAAATACATATGGTATAGTATGTCTTACAAATATTACAGAAAATACATCTAATCGCCAATCTCAGCATTACTTGATAAGACAGATCCATAATCCTAACAAATATACGATATTGGTAAAACACGATAATTTCAACCATGGCAGCTAATATAATGATAGTAAGTATTATCTACATAATATCATGTAAGCAGTAGGTAAGTGTGTACCTAAGTATTATTATTAAGTAAAAAATAACAACATATAACATATAAGCATTAGTCCTTTGGATGTGGAGAACCTGAATATTACCTGAAATCATATTTATAACCGATCAATTCTAAATCTGTATCACTGGGCATTGTCCATTTCTTAACGTAAAATTTTTATGTAAATAAATTTGGCACAAATGGGCTGTACCCAAAATGAATTAACTTTTTTTTTGGCGCAAATGGGTAACCCCCATATTAATATATAATTTCTAATACCGATATATAACTTACATTAATCCTGAAAACGTTAGAAATTCCACGAGATTATGTAATAGATACTTACACAAATATACTGGCCTTGGGTATTACCGAATATGGCTGTAGCCCATAAGCGCAAAATATGACCCAAACGCAACCCAAAAGCGCAAAAATAAATATCCCATAAGCGCAAAAAAAAAAAATACCTTTTTAATAACCCATAAGCGCAAATCAATTTTTTAAAAAAAGTGTATTTAATTAAAATCGTAGTTATTATTAATATTTATATAAGCATTAACTGTGATATTAAAATCAGTAAAATATAAAAAATACAATTTTGAATATTTTTTAAATTGGTTAAACAAATATACGCACACGTAACACGATGGTAGCATAGGCACCTACTGATATAGGTGAATATCTGGTATATACGATTTAAAACACTCGAATTACAATTAAAAATAAAACGTCTCAATAAGTCATATAGAACATAATATCTATATAGGTACCTATGTAGTTGCAAAGCTATATAGTTATCAAAAATCCTATTTAATGTAACTTATACTGTATACACCATTATATTATATTGTATATTATAGTTATCTTAAATGATTATCAACTGTCATCGTAATGTGTTACGATAAGATACTGCCAAATGTAATAATTGTCGCGATGCGTTGCTTCAATCTGTCGTGGAACGGGTATAAGCCATAAGGCCACGCGTAAATATATGGAAAGCGTCGAGCGTCGCGCGTTAGGTTAGTAAAATATTGTATCTAGTAATACAATTTATTTTTGCGCTTTTATCCCACTACCAAGGTACAAAAGCGCAAATTAATTTTGCGCTTTTGGGTTATCGAAAAAAAAGGTCGATTTGCGCTTTCGGGTTTCACCGACCGAATATTATTGTATAGAGTGTCTATAGGTACCTACTTGCAAAAAACAATTTAAAGGTACCATTTTTGATACTTACCTAACGATTTTCAATAGACATTATAATAAAATACTTGTATTCACTATGTATGATTTAATTTTTAAAACACTATGTTTATAATGTAGAGCTAAATTACGTAAGGTAAACATTTTATTCTTAAAATGTAATTATGTTTACAGTATGGTCACATTTATGTATAATTTTAAAGACACTGCACATAGACCAAAAAAGTGACTTATGATAATCCAAAATTAAAACTACATCAATATTTGTATCTTTTATACGAACTTTTATCCCTAATAATCGAAAACTTATAAATACATATAACGTAGGTAATATTATCATAATAACAGCGTTATATCCACAGAGCAGTGTAGTACATGCACGCAGTATATTATTGTCATCATCGTCGATTATATTAAAAATATTTCATATAATATACTATATTTTCCTTATTCAAAAGTATATATATATATCATATGTATGAGTATATTGTCCAGGCTTTCCGTTTGATTTCCTCCGTGATTCCCCTAGAGACGAAGAAATTTTTAATAATATTCCTGCCGCGTATGCAGCACGCCAAACATATACCTACCTATAAGGCTATAAACTCCATAATATGGTCCTTATACTCTACTAGTCAACTATCCATGTACAATGTGCATCATATCTACTAATAGTCCATTTAGGTATAAAACGAAATACACATATATTATTTATGCTCGTTTTGGAGTGAAATATCATCATCAGGTGCTTGGTCTGTGAATATTTTGCTGATTAATGCAAATTCAATAAACACTTTTAAGTATTACATGAAAATGAATTCAATTTTAAGACTTTAATTTTACATATTTTTCAAATTTTGAATTTTTAGGTCAATTTTTACCTATTGTCATGTAATCTTTCTTTGTTTTATTTGATTTTACAAAAGCTATTATATTTTAATATTTTATAAATTGTAAATAACTTATTAATAATACATAGCAAATCAAAATATAATGTGTATGAGTTAGATACTACTTACTATGTATAATATGTTAGACTAAATTGATTTTATTTTAAATATATGTTCCTAGTAGATACTATATTAAACAAGACAAATATCTAAGTACTAGCCGAATACTTACTTATTTAAAATACCAAATTCGTTTTCAATATTAGCTCGTCTAAGTATAGTGATACTAGTAAGAGGGATCCAAATTAAAACGATTATAATAAATTAAATAAAACAAAATTGGGTTCAACGTTTAAATCATTTTTAAAATAAATTAATAATTTGAAATATTTTGTTAAAAGTATAGACGTAATAAGAAAAAATTTAACTTCATTTAATGAGGACTATATCCACAAACATTGTTCATTTACCAAACATACTTTTATAAAATAAGGCCTCATTTTTCGCAGCGTTTTATTTTCACAAACGAAAGACCAGTATAATACGTTCAAGTTATAAGTTAGTTTCGTAATAATTGTATTTAATTTTAAAACGTAATAATAAATACTTAAATTAACATAGGTATAAATTAAAAAAGGTGGTTATCAATTAAAAATAAATGGGCAAAGAAGATAACCACTCTGTATTAGTTTTAGTTTGTTGAGAAGTAAATCACCATAATTTATGTGTTAAATTTGAATTCAATAATCATTGCATACGAAAAACGATTAAAAATCCAAAACATTTATATAAATACCTAAATTACCATGTGTAATAAATGATAGTATAAATATTTGGTAAAAATTTTAAGTACCTATTAACGGATTTTTTTTTTTTAATTACACTTTCTCTCTTCAATTTCCACCATATAAGCCGGAGTTTTCCAAGAAGTAATGACAGCTCCTTTCCTTTTAAATATATTCATAGCTAATCAACCCACTTCTTCTTACACCGTTGTTGCAAAATATCCCAATGATTAAGCAGTTAAAGAACTCAAAGCAATTCAATAAAATCCAATCATTCCATCTATCCAACTACAATTTCACCTCTCTTTTATAAATTTGGCGTAAAAACTAGAAAATTAAAATAAACAAAAATAAATCCTGCCACAATTTGAATTTATCCAAAATTCTCCTTAAACCTATTTGGATGTACAGAATCCAAATACAGGACTTTGCAGTGACATCAAATCTAAACAAATTACAAATAACCCAAAACAAAATATTTAATTACTGAATAACCAACCAATCTCAGTTCCATATTATGTTACCAAACAATCTTAACGCTTAGATTTAAAAACGAACATAGTACTAGCAACTGTCATCAAATCTTACTCCTGCTACCAGGAGTGTCAGCAGTAGGCGAAGTCTACACCATATCTTATCTTCTGGCACCAACCTTCCTGTAATGTAATCACTCAAACTTATTACACAAAATATGTATAAATTATTTAATAATATAAAAAAAATAAAAATTATGCCTAAAAACCAAATCTTGGTACTAATAGTTTCCCCCCCCCCCCGACCAAAAAAAAAAGTGCCAACTAGATCCGATTTGTTAAAAACCACCAATTTGATGAAAACTAAAAATCAAGACAATTCTTACTGCTCCCAATGGTGATGACAAACAGACAAAACAACAACATATCATTTTTAAATCAATACTTTAATTACTCTGCTCAGAAACTAGAATATAGATATTGTTAACAATTCAATAATTAAAACCAACACATTTTTTATAACTATTAATTTATTAAATCATATTAACAACGCATTTACATTTGTTCACTTATACAAAAAAATATAAATATAATGTGAAAAAATATTAATTTATTTTAGTTTATGATAAAACTATTATATTCTCTTAATCTCTCTATTATCATAAAGTTCTAAAAAATGTATAAAAATTAATGTAGATTCATAAAACAAATTCACAATTTACATGTTTAATATACTCTAATATTATAATCAATGCTACTACCAATTAATAAAATATATCATATTATAAAATATCATTTGGTTTGCAATCATATTAAAACTTACATTTAAAAAAAATACTTAAAACTATTAATAACTGATATGTCATTGTGTAAATTAGGCAAAATTTTGGTAAAGAATATTAATGAGATATGTGCAATAAAAATATTTATATAAATAAAGAAACTTTTGTTCTTAAAAAGTTATTTATACCATAGGTTAAACATAATATAGACTATAAATAATAGTATAAAATTAAAAAATACTATTCAATTATAAATATTAAATTTTATTCTCTTTTATTTGGGTTGAATTAAGTTTAATCAATAATAAATTCAGATCAAGGTCATTCGGTTTATAATACAGGCGTTGTCAATTGATGTTATGCTGGGTCCTGTTGGGCAACAAAGATAAAAGAAAACAGTGATTGTGTTTTTCAATACAATGTTAACAAATTTTTTTTTGGAAGGGTCTCTTTGTAAAGAAAAATTGTATAAGCTCCATGCTATTATATATTAAAAATACATTTTGATACTAAATACTCTGAAAAACAAAAAATATTTTTTTTACTAACAATATTACAGTTTTTATGTTTTTTATAAGTCCAACAAAATATATAGTCATGATAAATTATCTAATGAAATAAAAACCTCATTGCCCCTACATAAATATGGCACTGTAAATTTTTAATAAAAATTTAATTTCCCCTATTTATAACAGGAAAGTTATGTTTTGTTTACTATTGTACTAAATATAAACCAAGCATTGGCTGTCAATGTACAATGTATTTAACCCACGTAAAAATAACAATAAAAAATAATGATATAAAATGTATTCAAGTATAAAAATGAAATATAATACTTAAGAATAAAATAAAAATACTGATTAATTGTCAACGATTTTAAACATTTGAACACAAAATGGACGGATAAGATTACATTGTGTCAAGCGCATTTTCATAATTCTAAATAATAATATCTATCATATAGTGGAGTTTCGCTATTCCAGACTTTATTACTCCAAGTTGATACTTGGATAAATCTATGTCAGATCTGGATAAGCGACTAAACTATAGTTTGTAAATAAAAAATAAATACTACATTCCTGGTTGATTTATCAATAAAATATTAAATCTTGTTACACTGGGACAGTGGAAACTGTACTATGAGGAGTAGTAGGACGAGACCCAGCTAAAGAATGTGTTGTTGATGCATTTAGCGAGGCCATAGTTCCAATCTAAAATAAAATATTAAATTTATAAATACACACAAAAGGAAAAATAACAAAATACATACTCTCAAATGTGCTAAATCTTCAAGCTTAGTCAAATCAAACAATTCCAAATACAACGAATATACAAGTATCCAACCATAAACATTAATGACGCTGAACAATGCACCCAGCAAAATCATAGTAAAATTATATCCAAATATGGGATCGTTGGCTATTGAAGAAAACAACCAGGCAATAAATCGAAATATTGTAAATGCGGCAAATGAAAATAACCAAGGCACAATCCGTTTCTCGTGCTCCTGAAATTTATAAAAATTATTATTAATATTACCATTATCACATAAGTTATGAAAATAAATCTCATTTCACCTTGCGTAATGCAGATATCAAAATCAAACTTGTCACAAAAATAACAGCTGCCACAACAAATGAAAACAACGAGAATAAGACCAATAAATTTCTGACTGAAATATACAAAAGATTCATATGATTGTATAGAAAAAAATAATTGTTGTGTTAGTATGTTAAACACAAAACACAGTATTATTTATATTTACCCCAAGAACTTCCGACATATACAAACTGATAGCTCATGACATAGTAGCCATAATGTGTAGATCCAGGAGCAGCCATGGCCAGACAATATGTGTCAAACGCAGATGTCACCAACGTAAAAATGCTTAGAAACTAATGGACATTAAATTTTTGTTATGAATAAAAAATAAATAAAAATAAAAATATTAAAATACCAATACACAAATGAAGCTATGTCTGAATGGCTGAATGCTTACCAGTGAGTAGAAGGCGATGACAAGTGCACCTCTCTGCGTATCAAGGAAGAAGGCATCTTTCAAAATAGGACGTTGGTACCATGGTACACGTAAAGATTTCATGGAACGAGTCGATCGCAAGTTAGAAGATCTGATAGTCAGATGACTGGCGTGTATCGAGTACACGGATGGTGTTCCCATACTAGGAGTTTTACTTCGGGCGTACATTTCGATGGAATTAGTGAAATCAAAAAATGTATAATAAAACAAAAAAATAAAATAACTAAATTATCAACCGATAAAATCCAGCAAAAAAAAATTAACTTGTAGGAGTTGTAGGTTTTTTTTAAATTGTAAGATGATCACATTGAATTATTGCCGTTATTAAAATTAATATCAATAATCAAAACTGTTTTCTAAAATGTGTAAGACGAAAAAATACGCATACACCCGAACTCGGAATGTAAACTCAATTTATGGTGTTCATTATTAACTATTCAAAATAATTTAATGTTTGGTAAACAGTAAACACAACTCACAAATTAATAAACACGCCCAAGTTGATAGTTGAGAGCTACAAGTGATAAGTGATAACCATGCAATCTGCGATGATAGTTAGAGACGGGACATGGATAATATTATCATCAGACATCAATGCATTGCAAAAACCATGGCTAAATATTTTTAACCGGAGCAAAATCAATATAATATAATGAATATATATTCTTGGGTGTTGAGAATCTAATTCATCTCGATCAAACTGAAATGACAAAACTCCATGATTGATAATTAATGGTAACAAAGTAATAACCATAAAGATTAGAAATAAGAAAACTTAGATAACTGCAACAGCGAAACTGGCGCGTTACTCATAGATCACTAGTGTCTAACCAAGAAAAAGAACACGATCAAAATATGGCCACAAGCAACAAGTTGCGATTGCATCAATTTTGATATAATTATTTAAAATATTTATGTACAAAACTATTTTAATGGAATACTTAAATAGGTACCAAGATGACAACTAAACTATAATGAAATTATTATTAATTAAATACACACTACAATTGTTTATTATTTTATTTATGCATCGTTGGTGTGTTAAAATTGTTTAAAATATTTAAAATTATAATAAAATATTACGTAATAAATAATAATATATTCATTTGTATAAACGTATAATTTTAAAAACTACCTACAGCATCTTATTTTAAAAAGTTTTTAAAATGTAAAAAGCCTATAAAACATTGTAAAAATCTGTTACCTATGTTGGAGTGATGAACAATGGGTGGAATAATAAAAATATAATAAATTACTAACAACTGGTAAGAAATAAAAACTAATAAGCAGGGCTCGAAAGTTATAGCATTTGCATATTTTTGGGGGACTACCTATTAAATTCATTGCTAAATGCTAGGTAAGATTGAAATTAATTTCAAGACACTAGGAAACATTTTAGAAGTCTGTTGTGCATATTTTTGCATATTTAATGACTTTTTACTTTTAAGAGCATATTTTCAATTTTACCATTTTGTAGAACATGTATTTTTTTTTTTAAGCATATGATTAATGATATGTTTATAATACAATTTGAAAATCTGACAATGAAAAAAAAAAAAAATACTTTTTAACGTATATTTATTTTGAGGGTCTTCGCTAGGTATTATTACATCGTGTTTTTTAAATTCCTAGTTGAAATACAATTTCCTGTTTTTATTAATAAATATTTAGTACAAATTATAAAGTAATATTGTATTTCTGAAAATTGTGAGTAGAAAAAAAAATAAATGCATATTTCTTCTGTTATTATAAACGCAAAACGCATAAGTGCACGCATATTTAGTACTTTTTAAGTACATTAAGTTCCAAGACCCAGAATAAGTATAAAATAAAGTAAGTATGTAATGACTAATGAGTAACGACTAACGAGTAACGACTAACGATTAAGGAATCAACAATGTGGCTGCAGCGCACCCTATGGTCATTTAATCGTACCATTTTCTTTTTCTTATCTGGTGTTTAGTATCTTTATTCATTATCTTCATTCAGTATATCAGCTTCGGTATTACACTTCGTTCAGTTACATCCGTACTATATAGAGTTCAATG